TTCTCAAAAATACGTGCGAATCTAAACGTCGCAACCGTGTTTACATACTCTCATCTAAACAGACCTATCGACCAATGACAGTATCTCAGTCATTTTATAACATGTCATAGAAAATACAGTGGCCAACACAATGCAGCACACGTTTAATAGGAAGGTTGGGTAAAATACCGTCAAGTATACAAGGGCTTTCCTGTATTCTGATTGGCTGTATTTTCTATGGCATGGTATAAAAATAAATACAATTTTCGCTAGCGAGCGGTTGGTCCAAACAGCTCACATGGCTCAATATTCCCCAGCCAAGGAATATCCGAGTGACATTCCCCAATTTTAAGGCTGCGCGTGTTCGAAAAACATTTGAAGGATAATAAACACAATAGCCTCAATTCGGTGCGAAATATTCTCGGATATTTGTCCTTGTAGATTATCTGTTGTTCAAAGTTCACACTGAGATTTAAAATGTTCGCTTCTCGGAACAGATGATGTCTGCGGACAAATATCTGAGCATATTTTCGCGCCAAATGGAGGTTATTGTTTATTTACACCATGCTCTACAAATATGGCAAGTTGGTGCGTTTTTATTTTACTCAAGTTTTCTATATTTTGGGGGCGTTTTTAATAAAAAAAAATTATTCCACTTGCGCTTGTTGGATATGAAATGGTTATAGCCAAGTCGGCGCTTGGCGCATCGTTGGCTATCTACCATCTCATATCGAACGTGCGCTCATGGATTAATCGTTAAGTATACAACAAAAAACAAGCACACATGGACACCCGTCAATACCACGTATATTTTGCAAGGGTGTAACAAATATATTATTTACATATAGCAGTGCTCTGTTGAAAATATGCCATAATTTATTATTTATTCACAAAGATATATTCATTCTAGAAAAAAAAATACTAAACTTCCACCGAGCGATCTAATTCATTTAATTGTTCATCTAGAGTTCCAGTTACGCGCCACAAGCGGACCAAACGATCACTGAAAAAACAACAAAATAAGCTTCATGTTAGCATCAAAGTTTTGGATTTTTTTTTGGTATCTTTACTTTCTGGTTTAGTCACAATACTAACATTGAACTGCTTCAAACAAACACAACCAAGCCAGAGCAAACTGAAGCCGAACAATAGAAAATGGCTGGCTTTGTTCTTCTTTAAAACGTCGATCTATATATAAATATGAGCCCATAGAAGTTCACTGATTGATAGGGGGCGGGAGGGGGGGGGGGGGGGGTATTACGGAGGTTTGTCAGTTTCTCTTTTATTCGTCCGAGATCTGTAGATTCAGAGAAATATCTTACTTTGATTTGTATATAGCACACTACACGGGTTTCCAGTGTAAAACGAAACTTTCAAATCTCTCCCCTCCACCCGTGTTTTGTTAAGAGCCTGGCAGAAGTCTTTAATAAGCACTCACCTTGACGCTGTGAATACACAGGACGAATTCGTACAAATAGCGTTGATGGGATGCCTGTGAGCTTTGATTTCACCTGAAACGAGGCGAAAACGTTTGTCAACACAAGAATTCTCCATACTGCGTTACGTACAAGTGTAATGACACTGGTTAGGAGAATCTGGTTACCTCAAGAGAGGATGAAGGGTGAGAGGGTTAATCTTCCGAAGACGCCAATCAGTCTCTGGTTTAAAAACAATTTTACAGAGTTTACTGGGTGACGATAGCGAAGTTTGAACAATAGTAGAGAGCGTAACCGAGACAAGGGTTCTCGTCAGGATTGACACTGTAGTTTCAAGAGCGTCCACAGATATCGTAGTCCGTAAACTTATCTCGCCGGTGTCCGTTACGGATTGTTTAAATACGTCACACACTATTATTCGTTATCAGACCCTATTCTTCCCATTCACGACATAAAAAGAGATGTTCAAATATTCGAGACAATTTTGACGCGTGACGGAACAAGGAAAGCTTTTATCAGAGTCCTGCACCAAGTCAGTCTTCTTTTCCCTTAGCACCGATTCGAAAAGCCTATGATTTCTTCAAAGATGACACAAATGCGTTGAAGCCTCCTTAAGAGGTTACTTACACACAAGAGCCCCATTTTCCACCCGCCAGAGTTTTAGCATTCCACCACGGCATCCGCTGAGCAGTACGTTTTGCGGGTGTAAGAAATCTAAAGCGCAGACCCAGTCCTTATGAGCACCCGTCATATGCTGTGAATGAAGAATCGAAAAGAATATTACAATAATTTATCACCAACTAACCAGCCACTTAACTTGAGGCGTTTATTTTTCAGATCATTTCACCTGAATTAGTTGCTGAGTTTGAATGTTCCACTTCTTGATGCTGTTGTCACGTGACCCACTGAACAGATGGTCGCCTTTCAGAGCCAATGACTGCACGCCGTCATAGTGAGGCGGTTCCAGCTTGCTTCTTGCAGACTGCAACAAAGTACAAGCAGCGCAGACAGTGTTTACAAAATAAGACTACAGTGAAATCTACGGTGTTTGCCTGTCACCAAACGTATTATAAAGCCTCAGCCACGTTATAAACATCACGAAACCTTAAAAAGTAAACGTGAAATGGTTTAGACAAAAAAGAGAGTTTGTCGATGAAAGCTTGACAACATTATTTCGAGTTGGAAAAGCGATGAAAAATTGCAAGAATTGAATATCAGTTACCTGTACACCAACATTAGCACCATTCAATTCGAATATCTGCGAGAGAGAAAATAACACCAACATGAGAAAACACGCCTTGTTTTTTTTTCTTTTGTTAAAAGTATATGCACATTATACAGTGGGTACTTGAAAACGAGAAAACCAGCGAAACGAGTTTGACAAAAATTGATAGGAGATGTAGTTTTCTAGC